GAGAATTTTTTTTTTTTTTTTTTGTGCATGTGTTTTGAAATGTAAATAATCGGTAAAGGCCCCGAAGGCGGTGTCTCCTGTCTGCTGGAAGTCTGCGCCTCGCCAGGGCTCCGTGACTGAGCTAAAGCAGAGCTCCGTCCTGCACGTTTTGCCCTTGCGTAGGAGAGAACTTAGCTTGCAGGTCTCTCTCAAATGAGAGGATTGCCTGGCCAGGCCCGTGAGTTATGCAGAAGCTTTGGCACGTGTCCGTGTTGTCATTGCTAAGCTGCTGCCTTCGTTTGGAGAAGATGAAGCACATCTGTCGATACGAAAGCAAAGATCCTGATAAGAAGGGCCCCCAGCTTCTGCTGGGTTAGGAGCCTGCACTGGGCATTTCTTTCAAGTTTCACTTCCAAAGCTCCCCCACCTGTTGCATAGCAGCGTTCCCATTTCTTGCTACCAAATGTTTTTTCCTGGCAAGGCTTTCTGTAGTCCCCCTCTTGTCTTTTCTGTTGCCTGGTGCTGCCTGAGTCATCGTCATCTGTATGCAAAGAGCCTGATTTCTGCCAAAGGTGTCATCAAAAATTTCATCTTCCATGTGCTTGCCTGTCTCCCGAGCGCCTTCCAGAGTTCTGTCCTGATCTTGTCATCTTGCAAGCTCTCCAGGGCAAGGATGGCACCAGCGCGTTTTTGGTTTTTATTGAGTAATATTGTGCTGTGTGTGTCTGGCACTTCAGCGACAAAGGAAGCGAGATAATTGCTCCAGGTCGCTGGCTGCGGTAGAGCGCGATGCAGGACAAGAGCGCTGTTTCCTTCCAGCGCTTCACCTGCCCGGGAGACCTTTTCCTACTCGGCTGGAGAGGCACAGGGCGCTCTTTTACAGAATCAGAGAAAGCAAAGTTTAGTGAAGCACAGAAAACAAGCCCCACATTGCTTCAAGGTGGACCTGCGTTGAAGTCCAAGCCATTTTAAAAAGAGTGCTTCCCAGTTGCTTTCCAGATGAGGCATTTTGCCTGCTCTAAGTGCATGGAGCTGTACTTAGAACAGATCTGAAAATCTTCCTTGGAAGCAAAAAAGGTAGTTTAGTATTAACGTGTTTTATGTAGGTTCCTAGCATTTGCATCTTAAATACATCGTAGGCAGCAGTTGGGTTTCTTATTGCTGCAGCATTAGCTGAAGAGTTGTCCAACCAACGTTGGTTTTCCAACGGTGCCGTACGTGCAGGAGAACGGGCTGAAGCTGGTAATACAATGAGATCATACCAGAGTTGATATTCTAATCCAGCCAAGCTGCTGCTGTCTAATACCCTTTAAAGCTCGATTTTCATTTCACAGCCGTCCTGCTCGTGCTCGAGCTGGGTTACCTGAGGTAACGGTAGAGACTGGGGAAGCAGCAAAGTCCGTTAAAGGGCTTGCTGCCGCCGCTGTCGTACGGGGTCTGGTTTGTGGTGGAGCCCCCGTGGAGCTGATTGAACCTTCCAGCCTGACCCATGTCCCCACTCCCTCAAAAAGGGGTGAAAACTTTTTTTGCCATGTTACTGAGCTGTGTCGTGGCCCGGTGAGGTGAGAGGAGCGGACCAGGAGGGAGCGGTGATGTGCCCGTCCCGTTGGATGCAGCGAGCGGTTAGTTTGGTGTCAAAGCGTACCCGGCACTAACCACTCCGCCGCAGGCAGCGGCGTGGGAGCACCAGTCTGCAGGCGGCCACAGGGTAACTCCTGACGTGCAGAGCTGACAGAAATCCGGTGCCAGGGCTGCAGCCCTCTTCTCTCGTAATCCATGGGGTTTTCTAACACAGGGGTCTGAGGTGGGTGGGGGTGGAAAGGTCAGATGACAGCCTGCTAGATGAAGGGTGTTACAGATAAGAAGTGCCTTTTTCTTGTGGCTGAGCAAAGCCGATGTTTTCTTAATCGCGGATGAAGAAACAGAGACACAGAGAGCGGAAAGTGACTTGATGAGCGTCACAAACCAAAGTTAAGAACAGCTTTTGTGAATTTAATTTGTGTTTAATCGCCTGACCGCACAGCCTTCCTCATGTCTGGGATGAACACTTTCAGCGTTGTTGCACGTCTCTAATGTTGTTCCCACATTTCTGTTGTATTTTAACATTTCTTCTCCTTTTTGCAGGAAAGGCTAAGATATATGCTGGTCTTGCTGTTGTTGCTGCATGGTACAGACTCTTTCTATGTACCTGGCGTGGCTCCTATCAACTTCCACCGCAATGATCCTGTAGAAATAAAGGTGGGATGAACTTAGATGGAGCTGTTAGTCTGTTTGTTTTGGGTATTCTTGTGTTTTGTTTTTTTTCCTTCTTTATATCGTAGCAGCTAAGTGGGACTAGAAAGTCAAATTTGGGGATCCTGTTACTAAAATTTTGGGGGCAGGTATTTTCTCTTTTTCACCACATTCGTGTGGGCTGTTGGGGGTGAGCAGCCCTCAAGTGCTCACTGTTGTCAATTTACCCTGCAGTTCCCAACACGATTCTCTTTCTTGCTGCTGAGATCTTCTACCACATTCCTTCAGCAGTTGCAGAGAGTCCTCAAGATGTTGCTCCATTTGGGAAGAGAGCCCTCTTTCTCATTGTAGCTTTGAAGTGAATTTAATCTGAGCTTTTTCTGCAGCGTTATGCTGACTCCCAGAGTGCTTACAGGGCGTGGGCCTTTAGGTGGTAGGTGAGTGGTGGAATAAAGAAGTGGTTTGAATCAGACCTTTTCAATTTTTTTCTTCTACCCAATTTGCTCGTGTTGTGTCTTCAAGTGAGATTTGTGATAAGCCCTTTCCGAGTGCAGGCATTTGTCCTTGAGCGTTGCAGATCTTGCAGCCCAGGCTTGCTGAAGGCTGTTCCTGTGCAGTGTTGCTGGTCGAGGATGATGGAGCTGCTTCACCCCTACAGGAGGAAGCCAGGCTTTGTTTCCAGACATCAGCAATTTATAGCCCATTTCATTTATTTTTCTAAAGCTGTGGCCTCTGTCTCAGCAAAATCCAGCACCCTTGAGGATGCTGAGGCTTGCTGCTCCCACGTGAAGCACAACGCTATTTGCTCTCTGGCCACAGGCTGCCAGACGTAGGCTATTTTTAAGCAAATGAGACTTGCCTGTGGCTACGGTAAGCTTCTCAGAAGAAGAGGGTATTGGAATGGCTGTTCTCAGAGGGATTTCGTGAGCCAAGTGCTTCCTCAAGTGATAAGGCAAGTCAGCGTGTTTGCCAGCGCTCTTCCAATAAATGAGCTTGGCTGCATTACAAAACACTCCTGGTTTTCGGAGCAACTGTGGCCTTGGCTGTCGTGCTGTGTCTCTGCGCTTCCCTTGTGCCATGCGATTTCTGGAACTCTCCAGAAACGTTTAGATTTTGTCACTGCCCATTGTCTTCCCAATCTGATGGCTCTCTGGCTTTCCTTACAGAGATAAAAACTGTTCAGCTCTTCGTGTCACCAGAGGCCAGACCTCTAGGTCCAGTGTGACATGAATTTTTTTTTTTTGAGGAAACAACTGCAGTCCTGTATGAAATGTGACTCTGGAATCTCTTTCTAGCTCTTTGTTATTTCTTAGAACTTCACTGAGTCATAAGCCTGTGAAACCAATCCACCACGCTTCTTTCTTCAAGTGTTTCTCTGTTTGTGAATGAATTGCTGCTAACTCATAGTGCAGAGAATGTACAGCTGGGAATTGTGCAAAAGGGAAGAAAGCTGGAGCTCTCCCAGGAACATCAGTCTCCTTTTTTTACAGCTTCCAAAAGTGAGCTTTCTGGGAGGTGTCCTGAAGTAAGCTTCAGCTTCTGGCTGATGCTGAGAGGATAGGAAACAGAGTTCTTTCGTGGGGATAATCCTTCCCTTCTTCCTCCAGGCTGTGAAGCTCACCAGCTCGCGAACCCAGCTACCATACGAGTACTACTCGTTGCCCTTCTGCCAGCCCGCCAAGATAACGTACAAGGCTGAGAATCTTGGTACGTATCTGCTGAACAGCCTGCTCCCCCGCGGTAAGTGGGCTGCCGTTTGTGAGCTGCGTGAGGGTATGTTTACAAGAGTACAAGCAAATGCAAATGTCATCTCTAGTAAACTGTTCGTGGGGAGCCTGCTTCCTCTAATTCGTTATATGCCGGCTGTTTGCAAACTAGGATGTCCGTATAATGGAAAGAGGAAACACCTTTCCTGACGGAGGGCATGTAACCTGCTTCATAAGTAGAGCTTGATACTTCCAGCAAAATAACTAAACCATCCTTCCATCTTATCCTTGCATCTGTGGTCACAAAGGAGACTTGCTGTCATCATTCCAGCGCTGCCAACCCAGTGGCGGGATCAGTGGCGAGAAGCCTGGCAGTCTCTCACCCTGCCTTTATTTTCCTGTTTTCCAGGTGAGGTTCTTCGGGGGGACCGAATTGTAAATACACCTTTCCAGGTTTCCATGAACGTGGAGAAGAAATGTGAAGTTCTGTGCAACTTGCCCAATAAGCCGGTCACTCTGACAGTGGAGCAGAGCAAGCTGATCGCCGAGCGGATCAGGGAAGATTACTACGTCCATCTGTGAGTCACCTCGAGCCTGGGTTGTGTCAGTGGGGATTCTCTGTTGTGGACAAATTTGATCTGAAATCTGTGTTTCCAGCATTGCTGATAACCTCCCTGTGGCAACACGGCTGGAGTTTTATTCCAATCGTGAGGAAGAGGAGAAGAAGAAGGAGAAGGATGTGCAGTTCGAGCATGGCTACAGGCTTGGGTTTATGGACGGTAACAAGGTAGAGAATCCAGATGCTGTCGGAGGGGTACCTGGAGGAGCTCCGGGTGTCTGTCAGAGGCCGTTAGCAGTCTACCGGAGAGCATCAGGATTGGGAGTGCAACCGAAAGGTTTTATAAAGAGCAGAAATACGAGAGAGAGGTTTCTTACTGGAAGAAGGGGGTGGGTGCTGGACTGCTGGTGCGAGAGCCAGGAGTCCTGGCTTTGCCTCACTGTATAACGCTGGGCAACCACATGCGGTGGTTTCCCTCAGTAGAACGAAGGCTGCCTGATCTTTGACCGTCTTGGAGCATCTTGTATTAAGGAAAAAAAAAAAAAAAAGGTCAAGTGTTTATGGGAGGAAAAGCTGCTTAAGTTTGCAAACAGAAACTTAGCATGTGTATTCCTGCAGATATTTTCTGCGATGGTGTGCCCTAAGATGAGCTGTTGACGTATCAGATGCATCTGTTTATCACACTCGAGTGTTCAGCTGCACAGGCAGCTCTGATCGCTTGAGCCTAAGTTCTTAGGGGTGAATGAACCTGCTGTGCCAGCTCGGGGTCGCTCTGCCTTGTTCGTTACCAGGCGAGGTAAGAGCCTGTTGAAATGCGAGGTTAGGACGGCTGTGGGCCCCCCGAGCCTGGGGAAGGCGTGTCTGCCTGCTGGAAGGAGCAGGCAGAAAGCTCGGGGTTGTAGCTGCCGAGGTCTTTCCAACCTGAACTTGGTGATTCTGCTGCCGCTGAATGCATAGCGAGATGTGAGAGAGAATGATATTTTCCAGGCCAGAAACAGACCGAAGCGTTGTCCCTGATGCCTGGGGCGGCTGAGGTGTTACCTTTTCAACACCTCTATTCTCTCCTCTTGTTGTTTTAGCTTTGGAAAGCGTTAGCCTGATCTTGCTCTGTAGCACAATGCCTCTGGGAACAGTTGGAGTCTTTAGTTTTCTGCACCGAAGCTGCTTTCTGCAGTTGTTGCTTCTAAACTTGCGCTGTTCATCCCTCAGGGTGCTAACATTTTATTTAATGTCAATCTGTTTTAGTTCTACCTGCACAACCACCTCTCCTTCATCCTTTACTACCACAGAGAGGATGTGGAAGAAGACCAGGAGCCCACCTACCGGGTTGTGCGCTTTGAAGTGATTCCCCAAAGTATTAAACTAGAAGGTGAGAGACTCTCAGGGAGGGGAGCAAAGGAGAAGAACCTCTTGTAGGGCCAAGAGCTGAGTGCCACTGATGTATCAGGTGCCAGTTGTTGCTTCTGCTATGGTCTCGGGCCACAGAAATGGGGGAGTCTGAATTATTAGAACGATAAACGCCTTTGTTGTTAAGGAAGTATCAAAAATAGAGATATATCCTTGAAATGCAATCTGTGGAAAATTAATTCATATAAAAAGATTGGGGTTTGGGGGTTGGGTTTTTTCCGGTGTCATCTAGTGTGAAGTATGCATGGCATCGAGCTCTTACTGTGGCCCAGATCTGCCCCACTGGGACACCACATGCTGGTCCAGAGGCCCACGGAATGTCTGGAACTGTTCTAGGGGGGCTGAATGTTAAAAATAATGGTTAGGGGGAAAGAACTTCCACCTCAGTGAGCCCAGCCTGACACAGGTGTCTCGGAGGGAGCTTGCTCATCATGTGTATCATCCCGTGCAACTCTCCTCTGGCAGCAGCAGGCTCTGTTGGAGAGGTCTCGTTTCTCAGCGCATCATGTGGAACAGAGGATTTGCTCATGATCTAGATCCTTGGCTTCAGAGCCTCTGGCTTTTATCCTTCCAGTTAAGAAAGCCCTATGCATAGCCTTCCTTAAAGTTCGTTAATGGTGCTCCACTTCTGATCGGAAGAATAGTTTTGCAAAGTGGAAAGCGGGTGAGAAAGGAATGAGTGCGTCCCCTGCAGTACTGGGAGTAATCGCAGCCCAGCGCCTTAGGGCTCCCTGGGCCAGGCTGACCAGCGGGAGAGGTGGTGCCTGGAGGGAAGGGCTGACCTAGCGCGTGCCGTGTTTTCCCTTACAGACTTGAAGGCTGATGAGAAGAGTATGTGCACCCTGCCTGAAGCCACGGGCTCTGCCCCTCAGGAAATAGATCCTTCTAAAGAGAACCAGTTGCTCTTCACCTATTCTGTCCGCTGGGAGGTGAGGGAGCAATGGGAAGCTGGCTGGCAGCTTCCTACCCCTGCCTGGCACTGACTGGCTGGCAGTCAGCAAGTGTCTGTCACAGAGGTGGTGTGGAAGACACTGGGAACTTGCTGGTATGAGAAGAACTTTCCTGTTCTTTCAGGAAAGTGACATTAAATGGGCTTCCCGCTGGGACACCTACCTGACCATGAGCGACGTGCAGATTCACTGGTTTTCTATCATTAACTCGGTCGTGGTCGTCTTTTTCCTTTCAGGTGAGTGAGATGTGGGGGGTGAAGAAGGCTTTACCGTTAATCTGCAGGGCCCTTTCCTTAAGCCTTAGCTGCAGGGGGCTCGAGGAGGACGTGGCCATGCCTGAACCTGATCGGAAGGGGCAGGAAACGAACATTAGCACATAAAACCTCCTGGTTCAGGCAGCGCCCATGGGGTCAGACAGTTACGCGCTTCTGCTCTCTGACTGGGGTAGCTGAGGGAGTAGAACGTGGTTAACGCACATCTTGCGTGTCCGTATTTAAGGAAAAAAACTGCTGAGGAAAGCCGCAGTGCCCCGTTCCTGCTGGAATACTGCCTTCCCTGCTCCCTGGGGTTTTGTTTCTGTCCTTGCTGAAGGCTGGGGGAGATGGCTCATGACTCAAGGCCTCCTCTCCTAGCCAGAGCTGTGTGGTGGTGGGAGCCGTGTTGTTGCACAGCGTGAGAGCAGCACAGCCGTGTAGGAGCCTCTGAGCTAAACTCAGTTTGTGCTTGTTTTCAGGTATTCTCAGCATGATCATCATCCGGACTCTCCGGAAGGACATTGCTAACTACAACAAGGAAGATGACATTGTACGTGTTTGTTCTTGGGGCTGGGATCAGAGAGGGAGGGAAGCACAGATGAGGAGGGGTCGAGTCTGAAGGCTTGGATGTATTGGCTCTTCCCTGGCTCCTGTTTTGCTTCGAGCCCTGAAGACGGGAGGGGCAGTGCTGTCACGTGCTGTCACGACACCTCTGTAGAATGGCAGATGACCGGTTCAGATGTCTTCAGACCTAAGTAACGACCGCAGACAGTTCCATAAATGCGTGCCCTGGCGCTGGCCGTTCAGGTCTGAACTGGCTTAAGCCCAAGAGGAAGGAAGCTTAACTAGAGTGATAAAATTCTGTAGAAGAACTGGATACAGGGCAATTCACCTCTTCGGCTGGCTGTGGTGGGATGTTCATTTCCACCGTTAGACTGTACCGAAATACCTTCTTTTCCTGTTCTTGCGACAGGAAGATACTATGGAGGAATCTGGTTGGAAACTTGTGCATGGAGATGTCTTCAGGCCTCCGCAGTATCCTATGATCCTCAGCTCTCTCCTGGGTTCTGGAATTCAGCTCTTCTGTATGATCCTGATCGTCATCTGTAAGTGGCACGTGTCACATGGGGTGGCTGTAACGAGAAGAGGAACGATGCTCAAGGGCATTTGCAGCGCCCATTGACTTCAACCCGTGCTCACCTTAGCTTGAGTGAGGCCGCGTCAGGCTGCTTCCCGTTGCGGGGCTGATCTGTAGGCCCGCGCTCAGCATTTCTGAGTTTCTAGATAGCATTTCCCAGCCGAAGGCATCTTTTTGTCTATCTGTTGCCTGTTACCAAGATAGGAGCCCTGGGTGACGGTGGGCTGAGAGACGTTTGCACGTGTGTGCCTTGCCTTCTGAGCGGCACCTGCTCAAATCTCTGGGGCAGTGGAGGCTGAAGCAGGGTCTGTAGCTTGAGGTCAAAGCTGTGGCTCCCTCTGTCTGGCCAGCGCTGGAGGCTGTGGGTGCGTTATGCTTTGGAGGAAGGGAGGTCTTTGCAGAAGGCAGAGGTTCCAGGCGGCTGTGGTCTGCGCGTGGGCCGGGCCCCCGGCCTCCAGATGCTGGCTGGCACCCGTACGCCAGAGCTGCTGTTCTTTCTCCTTTTCTCCCTCCGCAGTTGTTGCTATGCTGGGGATGCTGTCGCCTTCAAGCCGGGGCGCGCTGATGACTACCGCCTGCTTTCTCTTCATGTTCATGGGGTAGGTGTCTCCACTGCTTCCCACAGCAGCGCTGTCCTGCCCGCCCTGCCGCTCCCTCTCCCCAACAACAAAAGCTGATTTTCTTTGTCTTGGCTTGTTTCTGTCCAGGGTTTTTGGTGGATTCTTTGCTGGCCGCTTATACCGGACTCTGAAGGGACATCGATGGAAGAAGGGAGCCTTTTGTGTGAGTCTTGTGCTGTTCTGTGCTGTTTATCCAGGTTTGCTGATGGCAAGATACGTGGATAAGCCCCACGCATATTTGTGGGTAGGGGGACGCAGCCTGGCTGTGCTGCAGAGATTTGGTGTGGGTTGAGTCCTCGCAGCTTTGCGTGACAGGGCGAACACCGGCGCACGTACTACGGTGAAGCAGGAGGATTGTCGAGATCCTCCCCACAGCCCGGCCGCTGTGTGTTAGTGCTGTAACAGAAGGGATGCTTCCTCCACACGTGCCCTGTCCCAGCGATGGACTCCTTCAAGAGAAACATCTGGCCGATGAGTCACGCGTTTTCCCTTCACCTGTGGTTGCTCTTGCAGACAGCTACCCTGTATCCGGGGGTCGTCTTTGGCATCTGCTTTGTCCTGAACTGTTTCATCTGGGGGAAACACTCCTCTGGAGCGGTAGGTGCCACCTTTGTCCTGGAGCCTGCTGGAGGGGGAGGAGGGCGAGCGGGCTGTCGGGGACCCGCTTAGTTTCACGGTATCTTCCTGAACGCGGGTGTCAGTGCCGTGGTTGACTGGAGAGCTGGTCTGGCCGCTGACTTCGGTCTCCAGGGCGGGTGAGCTGTCAGCCTCACTTCTGTGATACCATGGTGGCCTTGCTCTGCATGTGGTTTGGGATCTCCTTGCCCTTGGTCTACCTGGGTTACTACTTTGGGTTTCGCAAACAGCCGTACGACAATCCCGTCCGGACCAATCAGATTCCCAGGCAGATCCCGGAGCAGAGGTGGTATATGAATAAATTTGTGGGGTGAGTGATGAGTGTCTAGGGAATACGGTGAGTTGAGCCCCCTCCCCTCGGTCTCCTGGGGCTGCTGAACATCGCCTCCGCTGGCCTCTGGACGCAGACGGACGGCAGATGTGTTTCCTTGAGCAATGCGGTGATATCGGAGGCAATCTTGACACTTTTGCTGTGGTATGACTGGCGCTTACGAGAGCCGTATGTGCTCGACAGTGGGAGCAGCTGGGCCATTTGCTGTGTGAAATTTATTCTAGTAATCGGGAGCTGTGGAGCTTTTGCTGGGAGTGCTCTGTGTGCTTACAGGGGACTTTTCATGGCCAGACAGTTGTATTGTGCTGCTTATGATTTTTTCTTTCTCGCTCTGTAGGATTCTCATGGCTGGTATTCTGCCTTTTGGAGCTATGTTCATTGAACTGTTCTTCATTTTCAGTGTAAGCATTTAACCCACTTTGCTCCTGAATAGGATTCCCCTCGTGCCAAAGCTGTTGAAAGGGAGGGGGCTTCCAGGAGCCGCCTCCTGTTCCTGCAGGTACCGAAGGGGCGAGCAGGCTCCCTCCAGGCCCTTCGGTGGGGTTTCCAGGGAGCGCTGGGCTGCAGGTCTCGTCTGACTGTCCTCGTCCTCCTGCCGAAGACACCTGGAGATGTCCGTGGGACGCTCCTTGGTGATTTGATTTGAAGGATGGGGGTAAAGATGTTACCCGTAACGTTATGTCAGGGAGGGGTGCGGGTCGTAAGACCGCCGAGCCATTCCAGCTGCTGCCCGTTTTTCACTTTTTATGGACGGGGAGGAATTCGCTGTTCCCTTGCTGGGGAGATGGAGGGGAATGAACATGCTACCTCAGAGCTGTCTTTGGGCGCCTTTTTGCAGCTGATTCCTCTGAAGTAACATTGTGAAATGCGTTAGGTCTGCGGTTTCATCTACAGGAGGCTGAGGGGCTCCTTGTTCTTCCCTGGGTTAGCTGCTAGAAGTTGATCTCCCGTTCGCTGGTTGATCACACTAGCACGGAAACAAATTTCTGCTGTGTCTTTGTTTCAGGCGATCTGGGAGAACCAGTTCTATTACCTCTTTGGCTTTCTCTTCCTGGTGTTTATAATCCTGGTGGTGTCGTGCTCCCAAATCAGCATTGTCATGGTGTACTTCCAGCTTTGTGCTGAGGTGAGCTCTCCGTGTTTCAGCGTCGGTAGCTCAGGGTACTTGCTCCTGGAAAAGCACAGGTCACGTTATTGCTGCTGCTCAGCAGAAATCTCGTGTGGCCCGGCTTCACGGGTGTGATTGCTCTTAACGCCTCTTGACTTCAAGGGGAATTGAAGCTGCTTGATTATCTGCTAGGCTGGGAACTGTGGTTTCCTACCAGAAATTATGCTGGGAGCAGGGCGTTTTGAGCTGACATCTCTTCCCAAAGAAACTATTTCATTCCGTCCACATACAAAACGAAATGCAGGGCCAGAGGTGAGCCGTGTTCTTGGGCAGCAGGCGCTGTGATACCGACCTGGCTTTGCGTCACCCTCGGCTTTTCATCCTCTTTGTTTGGAAACACTTCTGTGCCAAAACAGCTCCCCAGCCCCAAACTGTGGTTTTCCTTTGAAGGAGAATGGGGGGTGGTCTCCCTGTCCCAAAGGGTCACAGCTCCCGGGAGACAGTGAGACAGGAGAAGGAAGCCTGGGGGATAATGAGGCTTTTTACCCTCTCAGGATTACCGCTGGTGGTGGAGGACCTTCCTGGTGTCCGGGGGATCTGCCTTCTATGTGCTGATCTATGCCATCTTCTACTTCGTGAACAAGGTATTGTTATTCCTCTTGCATGAAAGCGCCGCCTTTCTGGAGGAGATTGTTGGCTTTGGGAAGGGAAGCGGTGGGACTGCCTAGTCCTCGCCTGTCCCCCTGCCAGCCTGCGGCAGCTCACCAGCCGTCGGCGCGAGCAGCCCTTCCGGAGGGCAGGGAAGGCCGTGAGTGCCCGAGGTCCCCGCCTGCGTTACCTGTGCGGAGCGGTGTTCCCGAACCCCGCCTCGCGGGGGTTCTCTTTTCAGCCAGACAAAAGCGAAGCGAGCGGAGGGTTTCCTCCCCTTGCAGAGGGCACTGGGTGGTTTGGGGAGCTGACTCGTTACCCCCTGCTTGATTCTGCTTGTTTTTTCCTCTTCTTCTGTTTTAGCTGGATATTGTCGAGTTCATTCCCTCCTTACTCTACTTTGGCTACACCGCCCTGATGGTCCTGTCCTTCTGGCTCCTCACTGGCACCATTGGCTTCTATGCAGCCTACATGTTTGTCCGGAAGATCTATGCCGCGGTGAAAATAGACTGAAGGTGCACAGACCCAGCGGAAAGCAGACGCCTCCGAATGCGTGTCCTCCTGGGAGCGAGGGGGACATCTCCCAGCTCTTCTAAGGAAACAAAATCCAGCGGGAGAGTGACAAGAGAAATAAATAACTCCTCGGTTTGGAATGTAACTTTGGCACAGTGTACATGGATTCTGGGCTACTTCTGGGGGGAAAAGGGGTCTGTAGATACCTTACATTTTAACTTTACTATCCTGTTCCATATTTGAGGGAGTTTTTTAGCAGAGAAATATCCCTCTGTATAAGTAAACCCCCTTTTTGCTAATTCATCCTTTTTTTTTTTTTTTATGTTGATGACGAATGGATTTGAGACAGCAGTGGAAACACTTGTGAAAATGTTTTCTTCCAGCCCCTAGGGTGCTCTAGGATTCAGGGAGACTCGTCAGACAAACACCAGACTGGGTTTCTTTCCTGCCTTCGTGTCTGCACAGAAGAGGGAGCTTGACTGTGGCAAAATAAAGGGAGCCTGAAGGCTCCCCCGGCGTGAGCCTGGCGTGCTCTGACCGCAGAAGTCCTGGCTTCGGCTTGTTTACAGTTTGATGGAGATGCCATTCGGAGCCTGGGAAGTGCAATGTCACCCTGAGGGAGCTCGAGAACTGCAGCCCTCGGCGTCGCTTCTCCCTCCCTCCGGCCTCGGAGAGCATGGGCCGCTTCGGCTGCCTCCGCCGGAGGGGCTGAGGGAGGGTGGGATTTCCTCCTTTCGGAAGGCGCAGCCGGCTGCAGCAGGACGCAGCGTTCTGGTGGAAGCGACGTGATCGCGCTGGTGCTCGAATGCAGGACTGGAAGGGCGCGCGAGGTAACTACGACGGTTTGTTCTGTCGACGGCTGTGCTCCAGCCGCGTGAGGAGACGGGCAGGCCGCCTGCCCGGGAACGCTGCCAGGGTTGCGCAGAGCCCTGCCGAGGGAGGGCTGCGCCGCCGCCGCTTTCGTGCCAAGCGATCTGATGCAGTATTGGGCCTGAGCTGCCGGAGGCGTCCGCAGGAGGGGCCGGGGCAGAGGGAATGGCCCCGAGGAGTTCCCCCGCCCAGGAGCGGGCTGCCTGCCTGCCTCTGCTCCAGCGGCTCTTGCCGCCCTCATCTCCTCCTCTTGGATTCTCTACCTCCAGGGAACAGAAAAAGCGTACGCCCCTGAGCTGTATTTTGTTCTTCTCCACAAACGGTCCAAGCCTCCGGGGTAGCCGCCGTGGGCTCTTCTGCAGCGGGCTCCTCTGTCTCCGTGGCTTGATGCCTCGATCAGCCCACGGGAAGCTCTTTCTGAAAGAGGCTAACGTTTTTTGTTTTGGTCCTTTCGATGATGTTTACCAGTAAAAAGGTTCCACGTTACAGCGAAGGCTCCCTCCATCCCCAGCCTAGCTGCATTCAGTCAGGGCTACAGGGGAGAGGTTTTTTAATGAGATCTATGAAAATTTTGCTCTTGCTTCTTCCCGCAGTAAGGTTTCCGAATGACCAGCTGCCACAGGCGACGCCGCCCGCAGCCCTCCCCGTTACCAGCACTGATGTGCACCCGTCAGGGCTTCGGGGTGTTTTTATCCCCGATTGCCATAGGTTTCCACCGGGTCCGCGCCAGGACCCGTGTCTCTTACCGATGGCCTCGCCCCCCGCGGGGAGCTGGCTTCCCAGGCGGCTCGGCTCCCCGGCACCGCGTCTTTCCAGCCTTGCTCCTTCAGCCGCCCGTCATGCCAAAGTCGAATCAGCCAGGAATCGCGGACGGGAGAAGGGAGGAGGGGATGCGCGAGCCAGCTGCGCTGTGGAGTCCTGCGTCAGTTCTGATTTGAGATCCCTCTCTGAGATTTTGGTTGATTTTTTTTTTTTTTTTTTATTTTATTTTCTGCCCCCGCCCCAGTGGAGAGGCTCAGCCAGCAGTGATTTCTCTCCCTTCCCCAAAGTGTTTTCTCTGTATTCTTTGTAATTTTTAATTAATGTATGTATTCTTTGTGTCCTATTGTAAATAAATCTGCCATTGTCCTGTTGTCCTGCTCTCCTGGGTTCTCTTAAGCCACCTCTTGCGATTTTCTTTTCCTAACGCTTAGCCCGTTGGACGCCCGCGTGGTCTTTGCCGTGTGGCTTCACTCAGGAGCAGAGCTTGGAATACACTGCGCGTTTCTCCGTGGTATTTTTCTCCCGGTGAACTTGGCTGAGCGGTGAGTTTCTCCCAGCGTGGCCTGTCCTCTACGCTGCCGTACGTTGTAATTCAAGCGCCGCCGGTCGAGGCGTTGGATGTGTTTCTTGCTGTACCGCTCTCACGCGCGGCACGGTAAGAGCGTGTAAGCAGCTCGGCTCTCGCGTGTGAAGTACGCGTAGCGCTGCCGGCCGGGGCGGCGGGGCTGTCGGGTGGCTGCCAGCCTGCGAGCGCTGGGCCAGTACCTGGTGCCTTAGAGCCACAGGGGCGAGAGTACAATGAAGGAGGGAGCTGCCCTTTCTGCGCCCCGGGCGGTGTCCGGAGGTGTGTGGGTGCCGTCGAGGCCGGACCTCGCTCGTCGGTGCCTTTCCCAGGCCTCGCGTGGTTTTGCTGGGGGGCTGTGGCAGGAGAGCGGCAAGCGTCGGTTAACGATGCCGAGGGAGGGCTGGGGAGTTCACTGGTCTGGTGACGTTTTGCCCAGCAGAGCGCTGGATGCGCGCGGCCGCGGCCGGTAACGGGTTACAGGGATGCCAGCGTTGGGGGCTGCTGAACGTCCGTGACCCTGATGGGCTGCCGAGACCAGAGCAGGCGAATACCTTAACCGAAGCTCAGGCATCGCCGGAATAGTCCCTTCTCCCCTCGAAAAGGCAGAGGGAGGCTTCAGCTCCACCGGCAGGACAATCGGCGCTGAGCTCGTTTTTCATTTTCAGGCGGACCGGAGAAGCGGTGCCGCCGGAGCCGTGTCCTGTGGCCGCCCTCCGCTCCGGGGGAAGGCACCGCTGAGGGAACGGCGCGCGTTGCCGGTGGCTGCGTTGGGAATGAAAACGAGCTCGCACCCAGAAAAGGGCCTGAACGCTGAAAATGCTTCTCGGCTTTTAAACCGTGCTCTGAAGAGCGACTCGCGGCAGGGCAGGGTGCTCTTCGCCCTTTGTCGTCTCTGTCAAAACGCTGCTGCGCCCGGTGGTTGCTTAAGCTGCAAGGTTTGGTCCCGGTTCTGCAGCCTTCGTGCAAGGCGCGGTGCTGGGGAGCTGGGCGCGTCGGGGCCCGGGCTGTACCCGTCTGAAGCGCCTCCGCGCGGACCGGTGATTTTGGTGAAACCAAGCGACCAGAACGTCCTGCCTAACGACCGTTGCCCTCCTTGCCGGGAGCTAACGGCGTCGGCTGCCGCCACGTCCCCGGCCGGGGCCGCCGCCTCTTCTGGGTCTGATTCTTTGCTTGAAAGAAGCTGCGGCGCCTGCGTGGGTTCCCGCAAGGAGCTGGGGCCTTGCCGCGCCTTGCCAGGCTGTCTTTACTTAAACCCAAACAAACCCAAAACCCCATTCCCCTCCAAGAAGACAGCCAGGGCCGATAATTCAAGTGCTTTTAATAAACAACTTCGTTATAAAAAATGCTTTCAATTTGAACTTAATTTTGCAAGACAACGAAAGAGCTGATTTTAGTGATGAACTGTACATTTCCTAACGGCACTTAATCTTTTTACAGTTTAAAAACCTTGTTTACAGCCCCCAACACACTCCGTTCAAAGAGGTCATTCACCGTGTGTAAAAGTGCTAGAAAGTTTCTTTTCAGAAAACCAGCTGAGCTTTGACAACGGGAAGGTTCTGGCTCGGGCAGCGGGAGCCGCAGGAGCGGGGCCAGGCCCGGGGCCGCCCGGCGCAGGAGCGCCCGACCGCCGCCGGAGACGCCGCAGCTTCTCCCGCCCGCCGCC